ATACTACACCACCACCAGCACAACCCGCTCATACCCAAGCCTGCAACACCTGCAACAACACTCTACTGCTCATTCCCGAACCCCAAAACACCACAGACGACCAGAACGCTCCCATCTTTGTGGACACTGTACCCCACTATGCCCAGCCTATCTCAGATACACCTGAATCATACAGCAAAGACTCCCTCATTCAAAATTTAGCTGCTGAGCTCAAGAGGTTAACCAACCGGGTCCAGGGTGTCGAAGATAGCAAAGGTATGGAAGGTTTGAACTATGAAGATCTATGTGTTCAGCCAGATGTTGAACTCCCGGAGGGGTACAAGCCTCCCAAGTTCAAAATGTTCGACGGTACAGGTGATCACAAGGTCTATCTCAGAATGTATTATGATAAGCTGGTAGGAGTCGAAAGGGACGAGAAAATCCGCATGAAGCTGTTCATGAGGAGTTTGAAGGGTGATGCTTTATCATGGTATATTAGCCAGGATGCAAAGAAATGGACTAGTTGGGTGATCATGGCGTCTAACTTTATGGACCGGTTTAGGTTCAACACTGAGAACCTACCAGATGTGTCCTATATCCAGAATCTCAAGAAGAAGCCCATAGAGACCTTTCGCGAATATGCTACTCGTTGGAGTTCAGAAGCTGCTAAGGTCAGACCGGCCTTGGAGGAAGAACAAATGAACAGGTTTTTCATCCGTGTTCAGGATCAGCAATACTACGAGAGGCTGATGCTAATAGAGGGCCAAAAGTTCTCCAACATCATCAAGTTGGGAGAAAGGATTGAAGAAGGCATTAAAAACGGCATGGTCACTAATCTTGAAGCGTTGCAGGCCACCAACAAGGCTTTACAGTCTGGAGGCACGTCAAAGGAAAAGGACGTGAATTCCATGATAGCTGCGCAAAGAAACAATTCCTCTATGAAGTACCAAACCTATCCCTCAGCTCCACTCACATATCAACCTAAGCACCATCACCTACTTATCAAATTCCACCACCTGCTTACCAATCACCTCCACCACCTACGTATCAACCCACTTCACCCAGATATTCTCAACCCGCACCCGTATACCAAGCATACAACTCCCAACCTTCTCACTACCCATCACCTCCTACCCGCCAAAACTTTCCCCGACCTAGACTAAACTTCGACCGTAAACCTCCCAGACAATATACCGCCATAGCCGAGCCAATTGACCAATTATATGAAAAACTCAAAGCAGCCGATTACGTTACCCCTATTCCAGCCGTAACTCCAGAAAATCCTTCACAATGGATCAACCCAAACAAGACTTGCACATACCATTCCGGGATGAAGGGCCATACCATCGACGAGTGTCGCTCGTTGAAAAACAAGATTCAGAACCTGACTGACAACAAGATCATTATAGCAAAGGAGCCCGCTCCTAATGTCCGCAACAACCCCCTGCCTGACCACAAGGGCAGGAGCATCCATATGATTGATATTGAAGACGATTGGGACCCCAAAGGGTCAATCAGGTTGATAGCTGAAGGTGATGAACCTCAGAAGTCGGCGGTTGCCCTCAATCCCATTGTTGTTCAGATTCAGCCTTCTAAGGAGGATGTGGTAAATGTGTCTGTGCCACTCGAGTTTGAAGCACCGCCTGCAAAGGTGCCAAAACCGATTGAGGTTGAGTTTGGGATTCCAAAGGCACCCGCACCGTTTGAAGTTGCTGTGTTACCTCAAAGGGTGTCCATTCCGATTTCCATGACAGACATGACCCCATTCAAGTCGAAAGCCATACCTTAGGATTACACAGCTGAGGCTAGAAGGAAAGGGAAGACACATACCAGAGAAGCGGTCGCCGCACAGGGCATGACTAGAACAGGCAGGGTATACACCCCAGAACATTTAGCCGAGTCCAGCAAGCAAGCCTCTGGACGTCCTGTCAAAACTGGGCCCGATGACCTTTGGAGAAAGATACAGGCCAATGAGTACTCAGTCGTTGAACAACTGAACAAAACACCGGCACAAATTTCTATCTTGGCCCTTCTTCAAAGCTCTGAGACACATAAAAATGCCTTGATGAAGATACTAAGTGAAGCTTATGTTCCCAGCAACATAACAGGAGGCGAAATGGCGAATATGGTGGGACAGGTGTTGGAAAGCCACAAGATCACCTTCCACGAGGATGAGTTACCACCAGAAGGGCTTAGTCACAACAAGGCGTTGCATATCACTGTGCAATGCGAAGATCATTTCATCACCAGAATCTTGGTCGACAGGGGATCCAGCCTCAACATTTGTCCATTGATAACTCTTAGGACATTGGATAAGGGATTGCACGAGGTCAAAGACGGGGATATCAGTGTCAAAGCTTTTGATGGATCTCAGAGGTCCACCATTGGAGAAATTAGCCTATGCCTATAGATGGGACCCACCTGGTTTGATGTCGAGTTCCAAGTCATTGACGTACTAGCATCCTACAATTTGCTGCTGGGACGACCCTGGATCCATGCCGCTGGGGCTGTAGCATCAACTTTACATCAAGCTGTAAAATTTGAATGGAATCATCAGGAAGTAATCATTCATGGAGACGATAGCAACCCTATATACAGTCGCCAAACCATTCCGATGATCGGAGGTAGAAGAAGGATAGGAGGAGAAACATACCACCACATCGAGAGGGTCAATACTGTAGACAAAGACAAGTGGTGGGATAGCAAGATCGAAAGCATCCTGAATTGGAGCGGGTATG